CAGGCTGAGTTCCCAGCACAGCTAGAGAACTGACCATGCTGTGCTGTCCTGCCTGGTGTAATAAGTTTTTAACAGGAAAGCAGAGGGACTGGCAGGACTGCGGGTGTTAGTACAGTGTGCTGTTAGTAGTATACAGTGCCCCTAGTAATCCAATGTGCTTCCAGGGGTATACAGTGTATTACAGGGTGCTCCCAGTAGTAAAGAGTGCTGGGTAGGACACAGTGCCCCCACTAGTACAGTGTGCTCCCAGTAGTACATGTTGCAGTGTAGTACAGTGCGCTCACATTAGTACGGCACTCCTATTAGTACAGCGTGCCCTCAGTAGTATATAGTGACCTTTGTAGCATGCTTACAGTGGTAGAGAGTGTAGTACAGGGTGCTCGCCATAGTACACGCTGCCCCTCAGTAGTAGTATGCTCACAGCGGTACAGAGAGTAGTACACAGTACTCCCCAGTAGGACACAATACCCCCAGTAGTAAACAGTATTCCTCAGCAATATAAATTGCCCCCATTAGTACACAGTGCTCCCCAGAAGTACACAATACCCCCCTAGTAGTACACAGTGCCTCCACAGTAGTACACAATACCTCCAGTAGTACATAACACCCACCACCGCCCCTCCTGTAATAAATACCTCTAAAAGTACAGCACCCTTCCAGTAGAAAACAATACCTCTATTAGTACACAACGCCCCCCCCTGAAGTATACAATACTTCGAGTAGTACACAGCAGCCCCCCGTAGTAAACAATACCTCTAGTAGTATACAGAACCCCCAGTAGTAAGCAATGACCTCTAATAGTACACAGCACCCCCAGGTAGTAAACAATACCTCTAGTAGTACACAGCACCCCCAGGTAGTAAACAATACCTCTAGTAGTACACAGCACCCCCAGGTAGTAAACAATACCTCCAGTAGTACACAGCACCCCCCAGAAGAATGCAATACCTCTAGTAGTACACAGCACCTCCCAGTAGTAAAACAATACCTCTAGTAACACAGCACTCCCAAGAAGTAAACAATACCTCCAGAAGTACACAGCATTCCCCAGAAGTAAACAATACTTCCAGTAGTACACAGCACCCCCCCCACCACCGCAGTACACAGCACCCCCCAGTAGTAAAACAATACCTCTAGTAGTACAAAGCACCTCCACCCCCCACCCCACATAGTACACAGCACCCCCCGGTACTATACAGCACCCCCCAGTAGTAAACAATACCTCCAATAGTACACAGCACCCCCAGAAGTATACAATACCTCCAGTAGTACACAGCACCCCCCCAGAAGTATACAATACCTCCAGTAGTACACAGCACCCCCCCCCAGAAGTATACAATACCTCTAGTAGTACACAGCACCACCCAGAAGTATACAATACCTCTACTAACACAGCACTCCCAAGAAGTAAACAATACCTCTAGTCATACACAGAACACCCCCGAAGTATACAATACTTCTAGTAGTACACAGCACCCCCCTCCCCCGTAGTAAACAATACCTCTAGTAGTACACAGCACCCCCCAGTAGTAAAGCTCTAGTAGTACACAGCACCCCCCAGAAGTAAACAAAACCTCCAGTAGTACACAGCACCTCCCCCCATAGTAAACAATACCTCCAGTAGTAAACAGCACCCCCAAGTAGTAAACAATACCTCTAGTGTTGTTACACAGCACCCCCTAGTGTTTAATCAATACCTCCAGTAGTACACAGCACCCCCCCAGAAGTAACCAATACCTCTAGTAGTACACAGCACCCCGCCCCGCCCCCGTAGTAAAACAGAACCCCCCAGTAGTACACAACACTCCCCAGAGGTATGCAATACCTCCAGTAGTACACAGCCCCCCCCCCCCCCCCGTAGTACACAACACCTCCCAGTAGTAAACAATACCTCCAATAGAACACAGCACCCCCCAGTAGTAAACAATACCTCCAGTAGTACACAGCACCCCCATGAAGTATACAATACCTCCAGTAGTACACAGCACCCCCCAGTAGTATACAATACCTCTCTAGTAGTACACAGCACCCCCCAGTAGTATACAATACCTCCAGTAGTAAACAGCACCCCCCCAGTAGTATACAATACCTCTAGTAGTACACAGCACCCCCCAGTAGTATACAATACCTCTAGTAGTACACAGCACCCCCCCAAGTAGTAAACAATACCTCTAGTAGTACACAGCACCGCCCAAGTAGTAAAGAATCTCTCTAGTAGCACACAGCACACACCCCCCATAGTACAAAGCACCCCCCAGTAGCTCTAGTAGTACACAGCACCCCCTGGTAGTAAACAATACCTCCAGTAGTACACAGCACTCCCCAGAAGTATACAATACCTCTAGCAGTACACAGCACCCCCCAGTAGTAAACAATACCTCTAGTAGCAAACAGCAACCCCCCCCCCAGTGGTAAACAATACCTCTTGTAGTACACAGCTGCCCCAGAAGTATACAATACCTCCAGTAGTACACAGCACTCACTCCACCCCATTGTACACAGCACCCCCCAGAAGCATACAATACCTCCAGTAGTACACAGCACCCCCCAGTAGTAAACAATACCTCCAGTAGAATACAGCACCCCCCCCCCCAGAAGTATACAATACCCCTAGTAGTACAAAGCACCCCCCCCCCCCAGTAGTACACAGCACCCCCAGAAGTATACAATACCTCCAGTAATACACAGCACCCCCCAGTAGTAAACAATACCTCCACCTCCAGTAGTACACACAGCACCCCCAAGAAGTATACAATACCTCCAGTAGTACACAGCACCCTGAAGTAGTAAACAATACCTCTAGTAGTACACAGCACCCCCCCCAAGTAGTAAACAATACCTCTAGTAGCAGTACACAGCACCCTCCCCATAGTACAAAGCACCCCCCAGTAGTAAATACCTCTAGCAGTACACAGCACCCCCCAGTAGTAAACAATACCTCTAGTATTACACAGCACCCCCCCCCCAGAACTAAACAAATACCTCTAGTAGTACACAGCACCCCCCAGAAGCATACAATACCTCCAGTAGTACACAGCACCCCCCTGAAGTAAACAATACCTCTAGTAGTACACAGCACCCCCCCCCCCCAAGTAGTAAACAATACCTCTAGTAGCACACAGCCCCCCCCCCCCCATAGTACAAAGCACCCCCCAGTAGTAAATACCTCTAGCAGTACACAGCACCCCCCCAGTAGTAAACAATACCTCTAGTATTACACAGCACCCCCCCCCCCCAGAACTAAACAATACCTCTAGTAGTACACAGCACCCCCCAGAAGCATACAATACCTCCAGTAGTACACAGAACTCCCCCTCCCCCCTGGAGTACACAGCACCCCCCCAGAAGTATACTATACCTCTAGTAGTACACAGCACCCCCCCAGAAGTATACAATACCTCTAGTAGTACATAGCACCCCCCAGAAGTATAATACCTCTAGTAGTACATAGCACCCCCAGTAGTATACAATACCCCCAGAAGTATAATAGTAGTACATAGCACCCCCCAGAAGTATAATACCTCTAGTAGTACACAGCACCCCCCAGAAGTATAATACCTCTAGTAGTACACAGCACCCCCCAGAAGTATACAATACCTCTAGTAGTACACAGCACCCCCCAGAAGTATACAATACCTCTAGTAGTACACAGCACCCCCCAGAAGTATACAATACCTCTAGTAGTACACAGCACCCCCCAGAAGTATACAATACCTCTAGTAGTACACAGCACCCCCCAGAAGTATACAATACCTCTAGTAGTACACAGCACCCCCCAGAAGTATAATACCTCTAGTAGTACACAGCACCCCCCAGAAGTATAATACCTCTAGTAGTACACAGCACCCCCCAGAAGTATAATACCTCTAGTAGTACACAGCACCCCCCAGAAGTATAATACCTCTAGTAGTACACAGCACCCCCCCCAGAAGTATAATACCTCTAGTAGTACATAGCACCCCCCAGAAGTATAATACCTCTAGTAGTACATAGCACCCCCCAGAAGTATAATACCTCTAGTAGTACACAGCACCCCCCAGTAGTATACAATACCTAGTAGTAGAGAGAATGTGGTTAGCAGCGACAACGGTTTAGCACACATGGTGAAGGTAGTCGTCCTTCTCCCCCAACACACATCACCCCGGATACTTACAGCGAGGCCATGGAAGAGATCCTCTCCGGCTCCCCGCTGACTCTCCCACACTGTCAGCTTCCTGGGCGCCCACTGGCTGCTTCTCCACCAGGTCATGTGACTTTGATGTCAGCGAGCTACGAGGAGGTGGTTGGGGTCAAAACTGTTCACCTTTCCCAGGCAGCCTTCCATTGGTTACTTCTAGAATGTGGACTGCAGGAATACACAGGCTGTTGCTAGGGTGACCCAGAGGGACGTCAACAGGAAGCCGCTCCGGTGTTATGCAGACTCCTCCAGCTCTGCTGTGTGTGACAGGACAGGAAGTGGCTTCACTTTGTGAGGATGTGATGTAGCCGCTGAGACCTGAGTTATTGGTATGGGTGGAGGCTGTGGAAGCGGCTGTACTGCTTATGAAGGATCGTCTACTAATCTCACCCGATATATGTGGAGGAATAAAAAAGACTGGAGAAAAATGTGCTACAACTGTGTGCCTGGTCAATTCCTCATACTAAAACACACACACGGTTTTAATCTACATGGGTCCCTTCCCTTTCTGTATGACGATGATGGCTCTCTAATTATTTTCATTTAAAAATGTAACTTTTTTTTTCTAATTAATCAACAGCTGTCACATGACCAGCTCTTTCCCAGCCTGCCTACAGGGACAAAGTGGCAGGAGGAGTTTCTATTCATCTGCTAACGCTCACGTTTAAAAAAAAAAAAAAAAAAAAAAAAAAAAAAAAAAAGCCTTTGGCATACAGAGTAAAAATAATATAAATAAACTGTTTTATCCACTTTCACGCTGCCCTGCAGCAGAAATACTGTTACAGGGCAGCAGGGGTGTGCAAAATCACATATATAATATACGTGATTTTGCATTTCTGGGTAGGGGGCCCTTGTGCACACGCCCTACCCCTGCTGCCGTTCACAGCCCCGGCTGTCAAATCACCGGGTCCTGGCCAATGGTCACCGAGTATTACCGACGGGGGAGAGAACTGTATGTAAACAATACAGTTCTCTCCGTCAGCTCCAGCACACTGGTTTGTATGGCTCTGCATAGCACAGACACAACCTCATAGGAAAACACACACAGTTAACCCTTTGATCGCCCCACATGTTAACCCCTTCCTGCCCAATGCCATTAGTACAGTGTCAGTGCTTTTTATTAGCACTGATCACTGTATTGGTGTCACTGGGGATGTCAGTGACACTACATCAGTTCCCCCCACTGTCAGAATGCCTGCCGCAGTCCCGCTATAAGTCGCTGGTCGCCGCCATTACTAGTAAAAAAAAGAAAATTCCAGTATATATTCCGCCATTTGCAAACGCTATAACTTTCATTTAAAGCAATTAATTTACAGGCATCGGGATTTTTTTTGTAGCAAAGACGTAGCAGAATACATTTGCCCTAAATGTATGACAACATTTTTATTTTTTTATTTTCTATAATGGATTATCAATAGCTAAGTCAAAAATACTGGTTTTTTTTTTTCTAAAATTGACGGTCTTTTTTTATTTATAGCGCAAAAAATAGAAAATGTACAGGTGATAAAATACCACCAAAAGAAAGCTCTATTTGTGGGAAAAAAAGGACGTAACTTTAATTTTGGTGCAGCGTTGCATGACCGCGCAATTGTCAGTTAAAGTAATGCAAAAAATGGCCTGATCAGGAAGGGGGGTAAATCCTCCGGAGGGCAAGTGGTTATATTATCATACAAATATATATTTGAAATAAAATCTTTATTATTTTTTGGTGATAACACGGTGTGACCAGAGTTCTGCCAGTCACAGGCTGTGTTACGCTCCTCCAGCCTGTATCTTAGAATAAACGGGAGGTGAAGCCTCCATCAATAACGGTGTGATATCTCACCCTCCATTGTGTTTGGCTGATTAGTGAGCATGGAGGAGGAGAGAGGGAGTGGGCTGTTTTTTACCTCTGTATATGCCCACATGTGTGAATCTATAGTCACATGGGCTGTTCAGATATGATAGAGAGGAAATGCTCAGCATAGAAATTCACTGAATACTGAGCAAATGCAGGATTACCAACACTGCTCTGCAAAATCCCCAACTGGATTGGGGGCATGGACAGAAGGGGGAGATAGAGAACAGCAGGATTGAGCAGATTGTTTTGCAAAATCCAACAAACTAATCCCATACTGACTATGAACTACATGTAAGACAGCATTTATTGATAGTTTTTTTATCATGTGGGTTTAGTGACACTTTAATTGTTGCATGATAGTGTAGTGGTTACCCCCAAACGAGCCGCTGTAGTATTATCCCTAACTTCACCTTTAGCCAGGCACAAGGTAGTTTCACAACCAGGTATGCACACACTTTCGCTCGCTGTCTCCAATAATCAGCCTAGAGGTTGTTTTTGTAGTTTTATGATTGGAGAACTTAGATAGGGATGGGGAATTTAGTAGAATACTCCAGGAAGAGAACTACAGGCGAGGCCATAACTTCCTTAAGTAACACCCTTGAGCAAAGTTCCAATGTCAAGAAGGAGTTAAATAGATAGTGCTCTTCAGGACACCAGCCCGTGCCCCCTTGTTTCAGACCCAAGCTGACTATAGAGCTGATTATAGAGCACCAGAGAAGTAGCAAAGCACACAGTCCCCAAGATCCCACTGTGTCTGTACTCACAAGGCCCAAGGACAGAATAGTAGCCTCCTTCCAATCTTCCAAAAGATGCCCTCCAGTGATACCAGACAGATCTTTGGCAGACAGCACCCCTCAATCAGCTTGCTGAAGAACCAGGGTCACTCTCTCTCTTACTTCAGGCCCTCATGTTGTCCATCTGAGGCACCTTTGCGGCAATGTACCTTTCCCCAGGTGGTGCAATCTGTTCAAGTAAAGATCAAGGTTCAGTGTGCCCAAAGAATAAATAACTTCTCCCAACATTCCTCAGGGTTGCACTCCTTGGGATTGGCTGGAGTGGCATAATAATCCACTAGGATTGCTTTTACATGAACGTTGATCGCCGGCTGAAAAAACGATACCAGGATGATACCTGCACCTAACAGATTCCTCTATTCATATTGGTCGATGTGGATGAAGAAATCTCTGCCAAAAATTTTTTTTTTTTTTAAATATATACCAAAGCATAGGGGTCATCCACCCACTGGCCACCCAGACCCCCATGCTTCGGCATATATGCTCTTTTTTAAGTGCAGATTAAAAATCTCATCCAACAGCACTGCACACACACTGACTTATATGTATATTCTGAGAGCAAGTCCCTGTTGCTGTCAGAATAAACCGATCGGTGCTGCAGCTGAATGGTGTTCCTGGAAAGCAAACAACGGTTAACAATAAAACAAATTAACAATAGAACATTAACTCAATAAACCAACAAGTGAATGGTATTCCTGTAATGCAAATGGTTAACAATAAAACAAAGTAACAGTAGAACTCAACTCAATAAAACGCGATAAAAACAACTTTAATTTTTTTTAAACTTTTTTTTGTAACAACCTCTGAGTTTCGGGTCTCTCGTGATGGAAAATGCCTCTAATGCATAACATCATTTGAGACCCTTGGTGAATATGTGACTTGAATTGTGCTGTACCCTATACTAATACTCCACTGTTGTTTGGTAGTGACGGAAGCAGTCCTTGAGGGAAAGACCAGGTTGGCCAGGACAGGAGGGACAAAAAAAAAAGCGGGTGTCGCGTCTTTTTTGGTGTCTGCTACAGACACGACATCCTCTTTGGGGTGACCTTTGGGTTGCGGTACAGAGAGGACATCAGGAAAATGCCTCTCATGCAGCCGGCTAACTGCATCTGGATTTAAGGGTTGAGCCACAGCACCTTCTGGATACAAAAGGGCCGTGATAATCTGTTCCTGAAATTTTTGGAAGGATCCACTTCGTCCAGTTGCTTTGTAAAATTACAAAAGCGTTATATATAGCCAATTGAAATAAATAGACACCTTTTTGTACCAGTGTCGAGCTGTCTGGGAAACTAGGTACGGATTCATCATTTGGTCGTTGAAGTCCACCCCTCCCATGTTAAGTTTATAGTTGTGGACACAGAGGGGTTTCTCAAAAACACCAGATACTGTGAAATTTAGACTGTCACGTCTGCATGAACGGAAGACAGGACGAAAACATCCAGTTTGTCCTTCCACTTCACTGCGAGCAATTCATCATTCCTCAAGCAGACTATCTCCCCCTTTCTAAGTCAGGTATTTACAAGCCGTTGGGGGAATCCCAGGCGATTAGGTCGCACGGTACCACATGAGCCAATTCCAAGATGTGATATATATGTAACATAGGTGTACAGAATGTATGTGTGAAGGATGATTGACACTCAATTGCCATAATTTTAGTAGGCTACATCTGTCACGTACCTGATAGGAGACTGAATTGACAAGGTCAGCCTCCCTTGTGTCACTAGCCCTGACCCCGCTGAGGTTGGAACAGAGGGAGTCTAGGGACCAGGGGGACAAGAGCGCCAGAGGTTTGCTTGCGGCTCTTGCGGATGATGACCTTGGTAGGCAGGATATCCTCTGATTTGGGTACTGTAGAAATAGACCAGGCAGGTACAGTGGATTGCCGGATGCACAGCAGAGCCAGGTATGTAGCCAGGACACAGGACTGGAGGGGAGTCGTAGGCTAGCCAGGGTCATAGCAGTCGGGCAGCATGGTACAGGATCAGAAGGAAAAAGCCAAAGTCAGGATCAGACCCGAAGTCAAGAACTGGGGGGCAGGAGAGTACTCAGACACAGAATCGCACAGGAACAAGCAGGACACGGGAGAGCTGAAGACCAGTCAGCACTGAATCTGGGCAGAGGCGCACTTTAAATAGCCCGTCTGGCACCAATCTTCGCCGTGCATGTGCACGTGTGCATGCATATGCGCGATCACGCATTCTTGTGCGCCTGCGCACAACCGGCAATTCTTCTGCGGGATCTTTCGTGCATGCGCGTTCCCGAGCACGATTCTTATTGCCGGAAATCCCTTACAACATCAGTGGAGAAGTAACTAGAGTTTAGAATAATAAGACAAGGACATTGTTAAAATTTATCAAGGCTAGATCTATGATTCATAGTTACCAGATGTGCAGTCGCAATCAGTCAAGGACTCATAGTTACAAGATGTATAGTCGAACAAGTCAAGGTTAATAGTCACAATAGTTACACAGGGTCTACTGCGCATGGCAGTAGACAAGGACATTGCAAATTATGTATATAAAAGATGGGGGATTCTAGGGGAATTCGGGACTCATTGAAGAAGCGGCAGACGTGCCTTGCGGCGATCTCCCAGATTTCTCCTTTGCTGATTGCTGGAATCCCAATCATTGGGCAATGGGTGATGCTACAATATCCGGTGATGTATTGATGCTTTATTCTTTTCAATTCTTCTTTATTATTTTTCAGAAAGAATTACAAATAACGTTGAAAAGTTCAAAGAGTATACAAAACCATATACAGGTGAAACTCAAAAAATTAGAATATTGTGCAAAAGTTCATTTATTTCAGTAATGCAACTTAAAAGGTGAAACTAACATATGAGATAGACTCATTACATGCAAAGCAAGATAGTTCAAGCCGTGATTTGTCATAATTGTGATGATTATGGCTTACAGCTCATGAAAACCCCAAATCCACAATCTCAGAAAATTAGAATATTGTGAAAAGGTGCAATATTCTAGGCTAAACGTGTCCCACTCTAATCAGCTAATTAAGCCATAACACCTGCAAAAGGTTCCTGAGCCTTTATATGGTCTCTCAGTCTGGTTCAGTAGGAATCACAATCATGGGAAAAACTGCTGACCCGACAGTTGTGCAAAAAAAAACATCATTGACACCCTCCATAAGGAGGGAAAGCCTAAAAAGGTAATTGCAAAAGAAGTTGGATGTTCCCAAAGTGCTGTATCAAAGCACATTAATAGAAAGTTATGTGGAAGGGAAAAGTGTGGAAGAAAAAGATGCACAAGCAGCAGAGATGACCGCAGTCTGGAGAGGATTGTCAGGAAAAGGCCATTCAAAAGTGTTGGGGACTTTCACAAGGAGTGGACTGAGGCTGGAGTCAGTGCATCAAGAGCCACCACACACAGATGGATCCTGGACATGGGCTTCAAATGTCGTATTCCTCTCGTCAAGCCGCTCCCGAACCACAAACAACGTCAGAAGCGTCTTACCTGGGCTAAAGAAAAACAGACCTGGTCTGTTGCTCAGTGGTCCAAAGTCCTCTTTTCTGATGAGAGCAACTTTTACATCTCATTTGAAAACCAAGGACCAAGAGAGTAT